TTTATTGTGGATAAGTATTAATACCGTAGAATTATATATTTCCAACTTTCAAATCTTTTTTAGTTTAAATTGTAAAGATTGTCCCACATATTAAGCCCTTTGCGGGCTTTAATTACTTAAAATAATTAATGCTTACATCTATTATCGATATTTTAGATAAAAAAAATATTTTTTTATCGTAAATTTTACTAGAAAACAAATAAATTATTAAAAATAATAGATCCAATGAGCAACTATTCTATAAAATAATACAAATTACCTTTAAAAAATTTTAATGTTGATCATTTTTATCAAATATTTCTCTTAGACTAAATAGTCTACTGTAAAATAAACTAAATCTTCTGTCAATGCAAAATAATAACCAATTAATTTCATAAAAATTACAACTAGAAATACAACAAAAAATGCTTTCATCAACCCAATGTAAATTATTACAAATCAATTTAAAAATTAAAAGTTTTTGAGACACGACGGTATACTTGCTAAATTGATTACATGATAAATTTAATGAATTTAAAAAATCTTCCTTATTTTTCTTTTTATTTGTACTAATATAAATTCTATTTATAGTATCTAAAAAACTTGAAAGATTTTGTAGAGCAAGAATTGATTTTTGTTTCAAGTCATCAGAAAGATTAGATATTTCAAGTTTCTTAATAAATTGCGGCATTTGATCTTTAATTTTAAGTCTAAAAAACCTTCTAAAGTTCTTTTCAGATTGCTGGTATTTTTCATAAAGTTCGCGCTCGTTAGCTGTAAATCGACTTTTTAGAGTTGTTCTACTATTCTTTACTTTTCTTTTAGATTTCGAAGCCTTTTCATTCCCGTTTATTTGAATATTAGATACTTTGTTAGTTTTTAATTTTTTCATTTTATCTTTTGCGTTTTTATCATTCTGGTAGGCATTATTAAAAGAATAACTACTTTCAGGGTTATTAATCGTAGACGAAACACCAACATTTAATGGAGCATCTGTATGAACAGCACTTGGTAAATTTATACTATTATTCTCTAAATAGTAAGTTTGATAATTTGATGAAATCAAATCATTATAATTTTTCTGTAAAAAAGTGATAATTTCTAAATTACCGTATTGCTCTTGTATTAAATCATTTTGGTTTTTTTGTAATAATAAATGAGTATCATTATTCCAAAATCTATTTAAGTAAGAATGTT